TGGTGGTGGTGATGATGGTGGTGATGGTGATGGTGGTGGTGGTGGTGGTGGCGGTGGTAGAGGAAAAGCTTTGCTTTTATCTCTGCTCACCAGTGATTCTCAGTCCGAGTGCTTAAACATCAATTCCATCTTGAAACTAAATTTTCTGATTTTGTTTTGTGACTAGAGATCATTCCTCAAGATTCCTAATAGGTTCTAGGCCTTCTACTGTCAGTCCAGAGAAAAGTCATACTTACTGTCCTCAAGAGTCAACAAAAGAAGAAAGTCAGGCATTATGGTACAAGTCTGTAATCCCAGCACTCACGAGGCAGCAGAGATAATAGGATCAGAAGTTCAATAAAACAATATATAAAATAAAACCTCGAACAACCTCCATGTCAGTGGTGCACGTGCTGGAGGAGACATAGCTCTGACACCTGCAGTAGCTTGAGTTCCCTCCCCTCTTGGGTAAAGCCATTCAGATAAAGGCAAATTTTGGCTTTGTAGCAGAAAAGAATTTCAGGATAAGCCAGTATGAAGCAGAGTTGTAGTTTATTAAAGACAGTTTAAGAACAAGGGTGAATAGAGAAGAGGTAAGATTACACCCAAAAATGTGAGTGTGGGATTCTTAAGGGAGAAGCATCCTTCATGTCTTTCTAATAGTCATACATAGACTTTTATTCTATATATTATTATACAGAAGGCTATTATCTTGAAAGGGTTGTTAAATGTAAATGCAGTCATAGAATACTCCTGAGGTATGCTGGACAGGATCATAGCTGTACACACTAGATCCATATCTTCACTGTGAACAAAAGTTAATAGTTTTGTTAGTGGAGTTTCCAGAAAATCTCCAGGAGAATATTAAGGAATATTCAAGGTCATGTATACTTAGGCCTTAAATCTGGTTTATTGCTACTTTAACCTTTTTGAAGGTATGGGAGGGGGCACTGATAAAGGGTCTCAGTATGTATGCAGGCCTTACTGGCCTAGAACTTGCTATATAGATCAGGCCAACCTTCAACTCAAAGATCAGTCTGTCTTGGTCTCTGAGTGCTAAGATTAAAAGTATGCACTGCCATTCCCACTTTTTTGTTTGTTTTGTTTTGTTTTTTGAGGTAAAGTTTCTCTGTGTAGCCCTGGCTGTCCTTAAACTCACTCTGTAGATCAGGCTGTTCTAAAATTCAGAGATCCACCTACCTCTGCCTCCCAAGTGCTGGGATTAAAAGTATGTGCTATCACATACACCTAAACTTATTTATTTATGTTATCTTTTTAAACGCAGAAGTGCTCTATCTGCATGTACACCTATATGCCTGAAGAGGGCATCAGATCCCTTTATAGATGGTCATGAGCCACCATGTGGTTGCTAGGAATTAAATTCAAGACTTCTGGAAGAGCAGCCAGTACTCTTAACTGCTGAACCATCTCACCAATGCACCCAAACCCAGCTTTTTAACATTCTTTTTTGGGAAATATTTCTATATAAAAGAAAGACTGCCTGTATGTAAACAACCTTCAAAGCAAATGTTAGTAAACATGTTGATTTTCAGGTGGTAAGAGACTACAACCATACTTTAGAGGCTCTATCCTCTCTGCATCATAATCTCTCCGTATCTTACCTCATCTCCAATCATACATACCTCTGAGGGAGCTCCAGACATGGTAGGAACACGCTGCCTTCTACATCTCAGGCCTAGTCTAGCAGGGGTGGGACTGACAAACACCCACAAACTACAGCACTTTTAGTGAAGTAAAATACAAGTGGACAGTGCCTGAGGAAGACACCCAGGGCTGACCTCTGGCCTCCACATGTACATGTTCACTCACCCATAGGGACACAAACTTCACACACATGCACACGCGCGCACACACACACTAAAACACAGACAAAATCCAGTTCATCTCAGTGTATCTCCTTGAGTACCTCCTGTTCTACAATACTCTTGCTCTATAAGAGATTCAGGTACACAGTTCAAAGTATTGGTTCAGGAAAGAAAGTCATGGCTAGAAAACACCAAGCTACATAAGATTCAGGCTTCAAAGAGGTACAAGCAAGACACAGAGGTAGGGAAAGATCCGTAATATGAGCAGAGAGCAGCTGGAAACAAGAGAAGTATCCTTCGAGTGAAGACGGTTCAATGTCTTCCAAGGTCATCAGAGACAGATGGGGAGACCAGAGGCAGCTAAGAGCTGCTAGTGGCTGAGTCCAGGGAGCTCTCGGAGAAGCCTCATCAGTGTAAACAGTCTTACCACCACCAGAGAAAAGCCAGAGATGACAAAGAGAGGAAGGTTTTCTTACAGAGCAGAAGCAACAGGGAGTGGGACTGCTTGAGCCCTTATGCACAGGCCTTGGTGGCCCTATTTTAAATTATTTTTGACTAAGGCTACTTGACAAGGAATATTTCATTTCTTCGTCATGTCAGGGTACACAGCACAACATCAAGCATGGTGTCCACAATTAAAAGTTTCTCTTTTTCAACATGAAACCCAATTTGACATTTATGGATCCCATACCAAGCTGTTATCTGAATCTGGAGATTCTGCTACCAACAACTTCTTAAAAAAAAAAAACAAAACAAGGAAATGGGAAATGGGTTTGTTTATAGTTTTAGTCAGAAACTATAACTAACTATAGTTATATAGTTATAACTATAGTTATAGTTAGGGGAGGGTGGGAGTGGGGAGATGTTCCTTTCTCTCCAGTTTTTCTATGGCAGTGATACAATCAACAGAAAAGACAAAACAGAAAAAACAAAAGCCGTGAAACAAGCCTATGTATGTACAGACTTAACTGTGAAACAAGCCTATGTGTGTACAGACATAACCGTGAAAGAGTTCATCAGACTGTGAACCATCTTTCCTGGCAGGAGGCTGTCCTAGTTGTGGAATTCAGGCTATTCCCTTCCCGACACAGGATTTCCTGGAGGGTTATAATTCTTCAGGGTCCGTGTAACTCTGTGACAGACACTGTATGGCTTATGAACTATGCTTCCATCTTTTACACTTCTTGCTTTTCTGTAAGTTCTTCCCATTGGCCCCTCCCTGCTCCCTGCTCAGTCTCTATGTCACAAGGATCAGAGGTGAGAACACAGGGATTGGCTGTGGAGCTGAGGCAAGAAAGGTGTGTCAGGCTGAGAGGAAGATGGTTTCAAGGCCACACTTAGGGGTGTGATCCCATCCTGCAGCCCCGGGGAGCCCCAGCTGGTGATTTATGGGCAGAGGGCGTTACTAAGTCAAGGGTGGTGCTCTGCAGGTTAAGAGGAAACACCGCTACCGAGAGCTGCAACACCACGGCCTGGACCCTTCATGAGTGGCTCTCTCCTCACTGACCAGGAAATGAATGACATCTTACATCTGCACATGGTATGACTAGCCTAACCGTGGCCCACCAAAGATGGCCAAAGTGTGGTGTGTCCTACATACTGTGTCATCCATTGGCTGTATGATCAAAATCATCAGTTTGTCAAAACAATAGACAAGTACAAAATATCCCTCTTTAAAAAACAAAAACAAAAACAAAACCCAACTTAATCGAATTAGCTGAAAAGAAACCTATTCACTTACAGGTGGTCTTCAGAGTAATCCCTTCAGGCACGGCTGTATTACCAACACAAATAACAGTTACGTTCTGAAAACTTAGTCTGCTGGGACTGCAGACCCCTGGATTCATATCTTAACCCTCATTTTAGATTCTCAGATGTCACACATTATACATGACGAGAAGAACCTGCCAGTTCCAGAAGAGAATTTCCTTCCATTTTACCTACAGCACCAAATCTGAAATCCCAGGACTGAAAATGTGCTACCTACAGCTGCACTCTAATGAACAAGCAGCATTACCCTGACTGTGTAAACTATCTCAAACAGCCCGAGCATGGAACACAGTCATCTCAGATAAACAATGGCAAGTGTAAACCGGTAATCTGAAAGAGCCCAAGTATCAGACTTTCCAAAAATAATTAGAAAACAAATCGAGTATCTTATCATTACTTTTCATACTCCTGAGACTGTATTTTATAGGTATCTGTATAAATAAAAAATCCACTTCACACACATGTAATACACAATACAAACTAACAAGTTGTGTTAGAAGTCCTTAAACATCCAAAACAGTTGAGCAACACAAGCATACACTTCTGTAAGAGTAAAAATACAGCAAGCAGAATAACTTAGACTGTATCAGGATAGCTGTTGGCGCACAGAGCTGGATCTACAGTAACAAGCGCAATGCAAACAAGCACTGAGGTCACTTCATGTAAGACAAGTCCTTCAAAGGACCTTAAAGACTTGATTTGTATAACCTTTTTTGGATTCTGGCTTTGTAATAAATATATAATAAATATCTGCAATAACTGCATGTGCATAGCTTATCTTTCTCCGTTGGAAAGTCCTTCTCTGGAGTCACAGTGTCTCAGAGGCATCCCTGGGGGTGGGGAGTTGGGGCTTCGCAGCAAGTCCACTAACAACGCCACTTTAGCATCTATGTGTTCCTGGAGCTGGTAGAGCCTCTCATCAATGTGGTCCATAAGCTTCTTTTCCATCAGTTCCATGTTTTTAGAAAGAATCTTTTCCAAGTAGGAACAAATAGGCTGCTCTTCCATCCTAAAAATAAAATTTAAAGTGTATTAATTTTCTCTTATGTGATGACAAAAACAACTGGGCCCCAAATGTCAGCCACACTACACCACCAACACTGGCCTCAAACTGCCATCTCCTCGGGGCTCATTTCCAGCTCTAAAACCTACAGCAGTGGCCACCGTCCTGAACGCACAACATGCTCGTGCTTTTGTCTAGACAACTGAAAACAACAGAAAGCAAAGACAACCCCTCCAAAAACAAGCTCACGGTGTAGCTCTGAGGCTGCAGTGATTTTCCAGTATGCAACAAGCCTTGGATTAGGTCTCTAGCACTGCAAAAGACCAGGCTTAGGGGCAGGGGAAACAGCAGCTCAGTCACTAAGAGCTGTGCCTTGCAAGCTTCAAGACCCAAGTTAGAGTCTCATAATCCAAATTAAAAATTAAAATTAAAAGCTAGGGCTAGGGAGATGGCTCAGTTGGGAAAGCTACTACCATACAACTATGAGGATCTGAGTTCATATCCCTGGCACTCCATAAAAAACCTGATGCTACAGCCTATATCTATAATCCCTGTGCTGAGGAGGCAGAAAGAGGATGCCTGACACTGGCTGGCTAGTTAACCTTGCCAAATCAGGGAGCTGCAGGTTCAGTAAGAAACTCTGTCTCAAAAACAAAGATGGGACATGATTGAAGAAGACATCCCAAAGTAACCTCTCCCTTCTACCCACACATGCACACCTCATGCATACACAAATACACACTATGTAAATTCACACAGACATGCCAGATGTGGTAGTGTGAACTTAAAATCCCAGCACTGGGTAGGTAAAGATAAAAGACAAGAGGATCTCAGAGGCTCACTAGCCAGCCAGTCAAGTTTGGTCAGAGGGCTCTGGGCCAGTGAAAGATCGTATCTCAAAAGACAATGTGGATGGCTTCTGAGAAACAACACCTGAGGTTGTCCTCTGGCTTCCTTCCACATGCTGAACATGCTTCACATGTAAGCATACACAAACACAAGGTGCGGCATACACCTCTAATTCCAGCACTTGGGAAAGGAGCCAAAAAGATCAAAAGTTCATGCTAGACAATTGGAGGCTTGCCTGGGTGTGGCAGTTTGAATGAGAATGGCCCCCACAGGCTCACAGATTTGAAAGTTTGGTCTCCAGTGTTTGGGAGGAATCAGAAGGTATGGCCTTTTAGGAGGAGAGTGTGGACTTTGAGATTTCAAAAGTCCATGCCATTGCCAGTTAGCTCAGTCTGACTAGTGCTTACAGGTCAACTGTAAGATCTCAGTCAGCCTGCCTGCCTGCTGCCATGCTCCCCACTGTGATGTGCATGGCTATAACCCTTGGGAAACATGAGTTCCCAAATTAAATTGCTTTTTGTTGTTGTTGTTGTTGTTTATAAGTTGACTGGGCCATGGTGTTTACCATGGCAATAAAAAGTAACTAAGACACTGGACTACATGAGAATTTGTCTCATAAAAACTACTAAGGTTTTAGGAAAGGGCTGCTGTATTCAGTGAACACCAGGACAGTAAACCTCACAGTGGGGCCTACAAACCTTGCATCTCTCCTGCAGGGACTCAGTGAGGTCCATAGTATTTCTATGCTAATAGACTGGTGGTATCCTACTCATTCATCCTTAAGCTCTTGTGAACACACAGTAGGATTTTCCAAACATACATGAAGTGTAATGCCACTGCTTGCCACTGCTCTCAGAGCTTGCAGAAATGGTAGCAGTGACTCTTCTCTTCCCTAGAATGTCCTAAGGTGGTAGAGCTAGTGTATAAATATGTGCACTTCAGACATTACCTTGCTTTGCTCTCAGTGGTCTTACTAGTTACATGTTGTAAGGTAATACACAGAAATTTGTAGCCAAAAGCTATACACACACACACACACACACACACACACACACACACACACCACATATATGTATATGTAGGTTTGCACATATTAAAAAATAAAAAATTTTCACTTAAGTTTTTGCTTATTTTCATACTTAGGAACATCAAAACTCATATTACCAAATATATATTTAACACTGTGCCATTTTATTATGTACACATTATTTATCTTCCCAAAACACCAGTCAAGATGTCGCCTTCGGCTCCTAATTCCTACTAGTATGCTCTCTCCCATCTGCTACGTGGCCGCATGAGTCGCTGGTGTCTCTCACCTCTCAGCTGAAAGCCATTTAGGTGGTTGTTTTTAATAATTGCTGATTACCACTCCACAGTGTGAATACAACAGTTCTTGAATCATCTCTTACAAAATACAACTATTACAATAAAGCTTCTATGAACTTTATTGTTCTATGAATGCAATTGTTCACTGCATTTTTTTATGGCCATAAAATGTCATTTCTCTAGGATAAATGCCTAGGAATATGTCTGTCAGGTCACATAATGTGCATCTGAGTAGTTCAACTTGCCAAAACATTTTTGGGTGACTGACCATTTTGATTCCAGCAGCAAGCTGTGAGAGATCTAGTTCTCCATGTCCTTGTGAGCATTTTTAAGTTCTAGTCATTCCAAGAAACACACAGCATTCCTCTGGTTTTAATAAGCATTTCCCTGGCAACAGTGAAGGCAGTGCTGGCCACTCTTTGTGTTCATCGGCTTCTATCACAGCTTCCTCCCGGTGAGAAGATCCCTATCTTCTGCACTTTAATTAGTATTGTTTTAAACGCTGATTTGTGCCATTTCTTTCTGTTAAGAACAAGCCATTTCTTAGATTTGTGATCTATAAACATTTTCTTCCAGTTTATATTAAAATCATCAAGTTTGACATTTTGCTGGGGTCTACACATCATTTGTTTTGTTGATCATGTTATTGACAGTGTATTTAGTTTTTCCTAAGTCTCCAGGTGTTTCTCCCATATAATTAGAATGTTTGTTTACTTTTGGGAGTAGGCCATCTGTGTTCATTTTCACAGAAGTGTGAGGTTTAGGTTTGGGTTTATATTTGCCTGTGGAGATCACTGGCTTAGCACCACCTTTATGACCGCTCTTCCTCAAATGAGCTGCAATGCTGCCAAGCCTCCTTTATGTTTCTGGCTATCCACCTGTGGGTCACACTTCCCACTAGTACCACACCTGATACTACCAAGGTAGCATGTCCGAAAGTGGAGAAATGATTTCTCTTGCTTTATTCTTTTTAAATTTTTTTTCTAGTTATCTTTCTACTTTATAGAGCTTTCTAATTCCAAGTTTTAGAATCATCTCCTCCATACTTATAAAAAAATCATGATGGCCCTCGATAGGATTACATCAGGTATATATATCAACTAGAGGAGGACTGTTGCTTTTACAAAGTAACAACATGGCATGTCTCCCATTATTTTAGGCTTTTTCAAAATTTCCTTTATTAATATTTTTTATAATTTCCAGTTCACAGATCCCATATAATTATTTGTCAGATATAATTATTTCATAGATATTTAAAATATGTATTTACATATATCTTATTTATTTAAAGTTATGTAGAAACTAGTTGGGTACAAGGGTAATAGCAGCTTCATAAAGTAAGAAGTCTTTTTCTGCTTTGATTTTTTGGATTATGTAAAAACTGGTATTCTCTAAATGTTTGGCAGAATTCTCTAGTGGAACTATCTGGACCAGGATTTTTCTTTTCATAAACATTCATGTGTTAGTTGGCTTTTCATCCCTGTAATAATATCTGAGATTAAACATCAGGTTTACTTGACTCTTGGTTTCAGAGTTTTCAGCCCACAGTCTGCTGTGGACCTGAGGTTATGTAGAGCGTATATGGGAGAGGCCAGGGCAATGTGGTTCACCTCATAGTGACCAGATACTAGAAAAGAAGAAACTGGGAAGGGCCTGGGATGGGACATCCTCCAAAACCATGCCCCAGTGACCTATTTCCTCCACCTCAGCCCCTTCCTATCATCTCTAAACAATGGTATTAAAGTACAATTCCATCAGTCCGAGTGCCCTGCTGATCCAATTACCACAGAATGACTGGGTCCACGAAGCCAGCAGTTCTCACACATTAGATACTCACATACCAGATATTTATATTATGATTCACAGTAGTAGTAAAATTACAGTTATAAAGTAGTAACAAAATATTTTTATGGTTGGGGGTCACCACAACATGAGGAACTGTGTTAAAGGGTTTCAGTATTAGAAAGGTAGAGACCCACTGCACTAAGAGGAAATTAAACCTTCAACATGGGGGCAAACCACATTCAAACTGTAACACCCTCCCACTACAAATTCAGCATCTGTAGTGACTATCAGGTCATTCCATTATCTACTTGTGTAGATAAGTTGTGTCCTGTAGCTTGCATTTTTTGAAAAGTTAATCCACGTCCTCTAAGGCATTAAAGTTGCAAGTGTTAAGTTACTCTCACAGCCCCTTACTACCTGTAAGATGCCAAGGCTGTGTGTGATAGTCCCCTCTGCAAATCATATTGGTGCTTGTATCTTCTCCCTCATTGTCTAGTCTTTTTTTTTTTTTCCTTCGAGACAGGGTTTCTCAGTGTAGCCCTGGCTGTCCTGGAACTCACTCTGTGGACCAGGCTGGCCTCGAACTCAGAAATCCGCCTGCCTCTGCCTCCCAAGTGCTGGGATTAAAGGCGTGCGCCACCACTGCCCGGCTCATTGTCTAGTCTTAATAGAAGCTTACCAACGCTAATGAAACTTTCAGAGAATCACCTTTTTATTTCACTAGTCTCTTTATTGTTTTCCTGTTGTGTGAACCTCCTCCTTTGGCTTCCCGAATGCTGGCACTGCAAGTTTGTGCCACCAGCAGACTTTTAATTCAGTCTTTTAATGTGTTAGGACTACTATTTGATTGTTTAACTTGAAGGTTTTTTTTTTAGTATTGTATGAGTATTTTGCTTGCATGTACACGTATGTTCCATGCATGCCTGGTGCCCACAGAGGTCATGAGAGGGCACTGAAATACTGGGACGAGAGTTACAGGCTAGTTAGAGTTGTGAGTTATGTGGTGCTGGGAATTAAAGCAACACTTGTTCTCACCTGCTGAACCATCTCTCCAGCCCAATCTCTCCAGTCATTCTTTCAGGGTAGTTTGGTGTCACTGTCCTCACAGCCATCTTCACTGACAGCATATGACACTACAGACCCTTGTCATTGCTTCTTTAACTACAGCCCACAAACTCTCATCTCCAAATTGCTTAATGTATTTTAAAAACACTTGTGTTGAGACATCTTTTGTGTCTGATGCGCATGCTGTACGCACGTGCACGTGCACGTGCCCACGCCACGTGGATGCACACGTGTATGTACACATGAGCTTTAGAACAGAAGGCTGAGAGTCAGTGTCTACCTCTGTCACTCTGACACATTTGTTGAGACAGAGTCTTTCACAGAACCCAGAGGTCACTGATTTAGTGAGATTAGCCGGCCAGCAATCCCCTCGGTACTCCTGTCTGTGTCTCCTCAGGACCAGGGTTATAGGCACACACCACCACACTCAGGCTGTATTTTTTTTTAAATGGGTGCTATGGCCTGAAACTCAGGTCCTTATTCCTGCACTGCAAGCACCTTACCAACAGAGCCATTTCTCCAACTCCTGGACTTCTTGGAACACATAAACTGGGTTGCTTAACCATCCAAGTGTTTGGAAATTTTCTTACTGTCTTTCCTTTACTGTTAAGTGATTTCTTATCTGTCTTTATGGTTGGAGAAAATACCTTCTACGATTTCTGTCCTCTTAAATTTGGTGAGGCTGGTTTATGACTTGAGATATATTTCTGTGAATCTTCCACAGACATGAAAAAGCTATTCTGCTATTGTCGGTAGAAGCTAGTGTGAGTGCTGATGTAATCATGTTGGTTGGTGATGCTTACTTCCAAACTAATAAAAGTATCATTTCCAGATGTAAACTTTAAACTAAAACAGATTAAACAGTAGGTTAATATGAACTATGACCAAAGTCCTGTATTTCAACTAGAACAACATTTTGACAAACTATACCTGTGAAAAGGATTAGGAATATGCCATTTGGCCACCTTAATCAAATAGATGCTGCAAAGATAATGTATTGAGGCCAGAGGATAAGAGGTTCTGCACTATAAGTAATTCCCATACCACTACAGTTTCTGACAATAAAGTAGCCTGAAACAAACACGGGCTATAAAGGTAATCTCTTACAGTGACATGCATAACAAACCTAATCAAAAATTATAAATTCTCATGTTTTCTCCAAATTCATGCACACAGATTTCTATTGCAACCATTGGCTGATCGCTGGAACTCTTCCACAAATGCCTGAAACCCATGCAACGCCAATCTAGCCATTTCTTTCAACGCACTCCCTTCTATCCTAATTCTAGTAAGTGATGTCAATGATGGCTAGATATGCTGAAAACAGCTCATGAGGCAGTGCACCTGAGGCAAATCTGCTTCCCTTCATCTGACTCTCCCAAATCTCAACTGTATTTGACTTAAAATACTTACGGAACACCGACAATGCCCTCTTGGGGTTTGGAGATGTTTTCTTGCCACCTGGCATTATGTCCCACACGGAGATGGTTGACCTGACTACATAAATTCTGGAGAAAAGGCAGCAACTCAGAGTTGGGCACATTTGAGTTGCCACTTGCCTTCTTTGGTAAAAAAGAAGACACTGCGTTTTTAAGATCACTTTCAAGGAAATGGTTTTGTGGCGTAAGGTGACACTCATCATGGTTTGTGGTACTTCCTTCTCCAGATGGCTGTGTGCTTTTATCAATAAAAGCCTTTAAATTTTCAGTGATGGCTGAAGGTGTTAATCCAGTTCTAAAAGGAAAAGGTGTAGAGGATGCCTTGTCTAAGACTCCTGAAGATGGTGAAGACTGCAGTGCCATTAGATGCTTGTGTCCTGTCGTTCCCAACACCGACTGAAGCTGATCCCCGAGGGGAAGACAGTTCTGGACAAGGAAAACAAGTAAATATTAAAGAGTGAAGTCTAGCCTCTGGAGTGGTTGCTACAAGTCAGGCACTGTGCATTCTTCCTTTGATCGTGCATTTCCATGAAGAGAGCTGATACTGATCAATGTCACCGAGAGGTCACCAAGGGAAAGGTCTTGCCCAAGGAAACAAGTCAGTAAGTGACAGGGTTGAGATATAGACCTACTCTTCTTAAAAACCATTTATTTATGTATTTTATTTGCTCTGTCTGTATGTCTGCTTACAGACGAGAAGAGGATACCAGATCCCATTATAGTAATGGTCATGAGCTGCCATGTGGTTGTTGGGAACTGAACTCAGGACAGCCAGTGCTCATAACATCTAAGCCATCTCTCCAGTCCAACCTAAACTCCTCTTAATCAGTTCACTGTAGCTTTTCTAAGGAACATATTAAAATATACACTCCTATGATGGTAAAATCTACTAGCAGTCTGTAATGCTTTCACTGCTTTCTTAGGGCAGTATAGTATTAATCAGTCACAATGGTTAATCATTTTCTTTTAGATTTCTGTAATTTTTATTTGTATGCATATGCGTGTGTGCCTGAGCATGTGTGTTTGCACCAGGTACGTGCAGGTGCCCACAAGGCAAGGAAAGGGTCAGCCTCCGGAACTAGAGTTTCTACCACTTGTGAGCCACCTGATGTTGACGCTGAGAACAGGACCTGCCACATGCGCAGCAAGTACTCTTCACTGCTGAATCGTCTCTCTAGCCCCAGTTAATCTTCTCAAAGTTCAACCTGTAATCTTTAGATATATAAACTTTTTACATATAATAAACTGTTATATATTAATATTTGAACTATATATTTTTAATATAAACTATTCATTTTACATCACCATATCTTTTGCAATGAGTTTTCATAAAGGTTACAAGGTAGACAGTTACACTATAGAAATAGATGTTCTATGGGTACATTTGTGACATTTCTGATGACTAAAATGACCTTGGCTGCATTTGCTTTAGTCATTTTTAGGATAATAAGCATTATATTCTAGAGCCATAACTAAACTTACTATAAGATGAGCCTGGCTTATGTTAAGGAGAAGCCTGCACTACCTTTCTAGTGCGCCTTTCAGTTTTTCCAGTAAGAAAAGTAAAATACCTCTAGTCCAATGAACACTGTCAGACAAATGATTTAACTTTAACTTCAAAACATAGATGCCAATGATGGATGCCATTATGGCTGGTCAACAGCTTTTCAGAGACCAGTCCAAAAGGTAATCGAGATTAGCTGAAAAATCTATGTTCATATGTTCATCTAAATGTTCTAAATATTATCACAAGGCTAGGCCAGAGCTGCAAGGCATTTATCTAGCAAATGTTTACCAGAAGTCCCCTCTGTGCTATGTTCCATTTCAAGTGTAAGAAATACATCAGTGAGCAAACCAAATTACATTCCCTGACCTCATGGAGCCTACGTGATACATAAGTACGGGAAGATCCAAGGGAGGGAGGGAATATATCATAGGATGAAGACGATGATAAATACGTTAGGGAAAAAAATCAAGGAGGAAAGGAGGCTAATGGTCAGGGAAGCAGAGGTTGGGGCTGAGGTGGTATCTGCAATAGACAGTCTCCACCTAACTTTGCTGAATTTCATTTTTCAAAAAGCTCCTTCTAGAGAAATATTACCCTGTTATTAACTCATCCTGTTCTACTAAATGTCAGTTTTGAATAAACCTGAACATATTCCCACAACAACAACAAAGCATATATATTTACACAGCTATAACATTAGATATCTTTCCTTTAGCTTGCAGCTTTATTCAATCATAACTGAAATTCCATTTCTTTATTATAGTTAAAAAGTGTGCACTAGGGAATTGGTAAGTACATACTAACAGTAATGTTATTTACACTATAGTTCATGTCACAATCAAGGGTTATCATTAGCTTAACAGAAAAAAATAGATAATCATAAATGTAAAAATATTGGCTAAAGGCAATCCTTTTTGACAGTATATCCTGTCTGGTTATCTGTAAGAATTCACTGACTATAAAAATTAGCCAACAGTAATGTAAAATGCAGTAGTAGAAAACAGCATGGAAATCCCTCACACATTTAAAAATATAACTAGCATGTGGTTGAAAAGATCAACTGTGGGCTCCAGAACCCCTGGCCACAGGGTACGTGGTAGTAACCTACCATTGTGACTGTCAAGGAGGCAGCCCTTCCATGTGTTTCCATGCACAGAGAAAACTCAAAGGACACACACAAACTGCTGCCTTGGTTACCTCTGAGGAACAGAATGACAGCAGCAAAAACACTGGTTTTCCACCAGTAATTTTCTTTGAGTGAAACTTGTGGGATAGAAAACTTATTATTAATAGAATAAAACCAGGAAATAAATGTAATTTTTCCAGTCAAGATTTTAAGACAGAAATTAGTGAGCTAATTATATTTAACTCATTACTCTCCTCTAACCATCTCCATAATCCTTGTATAATCGCTTTTTTGCTTTTTTAATATCTACTCAGAGAATATATAATACATATGAACTTTGCCTCAGAAGTCACCATCTAAAATACTGATTCTTGAACTCCATCCTGTTGAATTTAGTAGATAAGAAGCAAGGGCTTGGAGTCAATCTTCTGAAGACATTAGAAAAACTCTGCACTCTGTAGAACATACTTTAAAACCAGACATGGTGGTAGTATGTAGTATGTCTTTGATTCCAGTTGTCAGGAGGCAGAAGCAGAAGGATCTCTGTGAGTCTGAGGCCAGCCTGGTCTACAGACCAAGTTCTAGATCAGCCCAGACTACATAGAGACCCTATCTAAAACAAATCGAAAAGAAAAATAAAACTGTCGTACTCCTAAAAAGGGATAAGTATTTCCACTATCCTTAATATTTCTTTATATGTCCACCTTCTAATTTCTTCTTTATGTTAAATAGCTTGGGAAAAAAACTGTTTGCATTCAATGCCTCCCGAACTCAGCTACTATCGAATCCTCCATAATGTGTTTTATATACTATTGTTATTTAAACTCACTCCCAGAAGCAATGAAAAAAGTATTCATGATAAACCAAACTGGCAATATATGTATACATACACACAATGCCATAAAGAAAACAGACAACTCTCTGCATGCAACTTTAATCTCAATTTAGTGAGAAAAACAGTAACGAAGTGGTCAGAAAGATACAAATAAAACTATGATAAAAATTAAGAGGGATGTGCTACTCTAAACTGGGTGACAGAAAAGGTGTCATTAAGGGTATAATGATTAAGGTGAAATTAGAGTAGTAAGAACAGTAAGAAAATAGATACAGTGGGCAGTGGTGGCACCTGCCTTTAATCCCAGCACTATCAAGGCAGAAGCAGGTGGATCTCTGAGTTCAAGGCCAGCCTGGTCTACAAGGTGAGTGCCCAGTATAGCCAAGGCTACAGAGAAACTCTGTGTCTTGAGGGTTATGGGAAAAGAAAAAAAATCACAAAAACAAAACAAAACAAAGCAAAACTAGATACAATAATATCACAAGAGGGGAGTTCCAGCCAAAGAAAATAACTGAATATAAAGGCCCTGAGGTAGCAACATGTTTGCTTATGAGGAATAGAAACATCAGAATTTCAATATGGGACCCAAGGATCTGTAGCCAAGTTGAAGAAGGAAGGAAGGCCAAGACACTCAAATATCTACATGCAAAGACAAGAAGTCAGGGCTTTACACAGGAAGCTGAGCTTCCTTTTGAGTTCATTCTGCTTGGATGTTGAAGGTGGGCTGTGGTTGAGCAGGAGGAGCATGCAGGAGCCTACGTTATCCAACTGAGATAATGCTGGACAGGAAGTAAACCAGAGACTGCCATTTGTTTTAAAATGCTTTTGCAGATTCCAAAATCTTCTGTTCTCCTGTTGTCTTACTTCTGCCCATACTCTAGGACTGCCCTGACTCCAGTAGTGAAACCATGTGGTCTTTACAAGTTTTTTTTCAGTAGTTAGCTTAAATTTCCACATCAACACTGTGATCTTTACAGTGGTATCACATAAACTTTGTGAAGAGAATTTCATTATAAATATTATATGACTTTAATCTCACTTTAGTGAAGCTGAAGGAGATAGAACTACTGAGTGACAAGACAGGAGCTCACCTGGCATTAAAACCCCCTTTCTCTGATGGCACCTGTTAGTTGGTAACACTGGTGCCTTCTGTTCTTCTGGTGCCTCCTTCCTCTCCCCACAGTTTGCCAGATGTAACTACTTTGCAAGGGTCTTTTTCTCTAGTGTCAGCCTCTCTGTTCAGTGTTTCTACTGTGGGCACACTTCCCCCAAGCCTCCCTTCTACCCAGCTCCCACCTCCCCTTCTGATCCTATCTGTAATGCTATATATAACGCCTTCCAGGCAAGTCCTTGTTCACAGCTGAATTTTGTATGCCCCAAATTAGACTCCTTTTATCAAGTGCCCTCATCCCCTTGGCTCCATTTATATTTCTGGTAATGCCATTCTCAAAACTTCAATTTCTCATCTGACTTTACTTTCTCCTTCAACAGCAGTATTAACTGTCTAGTCCCAATGACTCTGTGCTTCCTGGCTTATTGATCTCAGAACCCAGTGTCACGTTACAGCACTAGTGTAAACCACATCATTTCTCATGAGTGGGGAAATCACATACAGCTGGTCTCTGTTGTAGTCTTGCTTTCTTTTGATTTACCTTCCACACAATAGTGGTTTAAAATCTCTTTAAAATAGGCCAAAAGCATTGACACACTAAAAACAGCATCAAAGCTCTCTATGATCCAGCCCACATCTTTAAATCTCTCCTGTCTACTCATTCCTTTCATTTCTTAGCTAGATCCTACTCCTTCCAGCCGAGGATCAAACCCATTACTACAATTTCTCTAAAGTAACCAACCTCTAGGTAGACGTGAACACCCCACCTTCCTCTCCCATAACCCAAATGAAATGGAACTTACTTCAGCTTACCTTCCCCCGCCCTGCCCCGCCCCTTGGTAGTTCTCTGTGTAGCCCTGGCTGTCCTGAACTCATTCTGTAGACCAGACCGGCCTCAAACTCAAGATATCTATCCTGCCTCTGCTTCCCGAGTGCTGAGATTAAAGTCTCTGGTCAATATGCCTTTCTTAATCTCATCACTTGCCACATACAATGCTTAAATATAGGCTACACACTGACTGATCACCTTTATACCCTTAAAAGGGAGTAAGCTAGAGTCTTGTTCACTGCTGAATCAATGCCTAAAATGATCTGAGGAAGAACTGAAGCTATCAGTCAGAACATTTTGTAGAAGGGCAAGCTTACAAAATGTCATTTCTATAAAAATTAAGAATAGAAGACAGGGGCTGGTGAGATGGCTCAGTGGTTAAGAGCATTGACTGCTCTTCTAGAGGTCATGAGTTCAAATCCCAGCAACCACATGGTGGCTCACAACCATCTGCAATGAGATCTGATGCCCTCATATGGGTGTCTGGAGACAGCTACAGTGTACTCACATATAATAAATAAATAAATAAATACCAAAAATAAAATAAACCAAACAGCTACAGTGTACTCACATATAATAAATAAATAAATAAAATAAAATAAACCAAAGAAAAATTTCAAAAAAAAAAAAAAAAACATAGAAGACAGTTAAGTGAGTAGTAGAAATTAATAAATACACACACAGAGAGACACACACTGTATTACTGTATTAAAGGCTAACATTAAAAAATTGTTTGGTTTTTGGAGTTTTTTCCTGGTTTTTTTTGGGGGGGGGGAACGGCACGCACGCACGCACACGTGTGTGTGTGTGTGTGTGTGTGTGTGTGTGTGTGTGTGAGAGAGAGAGAGAGAGAGCGCGCAGGGGAGAGCTGAAGTCAGATGATTACCTGAAGTTCCCACCTTCCACCTCTTTGGGACTAGGCATATACCCCACCAAGTGGGTTGTGAACTTCAAGGAATTTTGATGCCTTTACCTCCCAACTTTCTGCAGGAAAACAGGGACTATAGACATGTTTAATAACACTTCTTGCTTTTACATAGGCTCTGGGAACCAGAATTCAGGTTAACTCACTGAACCATCTTCTCAAAACGGCATTTAAAATTTTAATAAAATGCATCTCTACTTGCCTGCTGCTGAAACCTAATCATATTCATCAGCTGCTGAGCTCCAGGGGATAACTTGGACCCCATGGACTCCATTATGCTTTGGATATTGTCGAGGTCTATCCGTGATCCCAGAGCAGCAGAGCTTGGTGAAGGATTTGCAGACTGTGGTCTTAAGTGCACCACAACTTTACTGACGAGCACGCACTGCTTTTCACCGAAGGATAACAACTGTGATGAAACAAAACATTCTAGGAAATGACGGTGGTATTACAAACAACTATCACTCAGGAAGACTTCTTCATATTATAAAAATAAGACAGAGCATTCAAGAGTCTATAAATTAACTTCAAATGCATTTAAAATTTCCTTTATAGTAGTCAAAGTTAGAAAATAAACTCCAATGTATCATGAGGGAAACACCAACTAATTAAATAAAGAAATCCTTTCCAAGACACAAGACATAAAAAAAAAAAGACTATTAAAAGTTTTGTTTACTTGATTTAAGGAATTAAAAGGAAACCACACCTGGCTGGTGGTATAGCTCAGTGGTAGAGCATTTGACTAGCATGCTCAAGATCCCAGATTTGAGTCCCCCATATGACCAGGGAAGAAGAAACCCAAGAACCCTAGATCTTAGCATGTCCCAGTTGGCTTTAATATTACTTAGTATAAAATAAAACTGCCTAGATGTCCATACAAGATCTATCTAAATCCTAACCATAATTCCATCTTCTGTAGCTCAGAAAGGAAGGGATGTGGTGCCAGAACTCCTTAATATGCAGTGTACATAATAATATATATAATAATCTTAATACTTAATAGCGGGTGGTTTACATAAAAATCAGAGGTCAGGGTGACTTTCTAACTGGTGAAGGACGTTCAGTGGGTATAAGGTCTCCTGGCTTTTTTCACCATACATTTTCCATTTTTTGTTTTTTTTGTGTCGTCCCATTACCTTTAGGGTACTGAGACAATGGTAACTCCCACATGCTGGTCAGTGCTTGCCACTAAGCCATACTCCCATCACACTGGCAGTTTAGACTATGCATGTCTCGGAACCAAAAGACATTTCATACATGCTATAAAGGAAATGACTTTAAGTAAGACATGCATGAGGTCTTTTTGTTTTTTGTTTTTTCGAGACAGGGTTTCTCTGTATAGTCCCAGCTGTCCTGGAACTCACTCTGTAGACCAGGCTGGCCTCGAACTCAGAAATCCAACTGCCTCTGCCTCCCAAGTGCTGGGATTAAAGGCGTGCGCCACCACTGCCCAGCTTGACATGCATGAGTTTAAATTGTGAGTTCTGCCATTTCGTAACCTGTGCAATCCTGGGCAAATACTAACACTGAACAGGGACGATAAGATGACTTTGAATAGAGGTTTGTGTGCCAAAATACCTACTCTGTATCACTAAGTAATGCTCTGAATTCTTTATTAGGAACATTTACACAGCTTTCATATATGCCAGAGGGGCTCCCTAACTGAAAGCTCTCTTCAGACTAACACATACTTCCAAAGAACAGTTACAAAAATTATTTACTTTGAAAGACACATGGGGGCTGGTGAGATGGCTCAGTGGTTAAGAGCACTGACTGCACTTCCAGAGGTCACGAGTTCAAATCCCAGCAACCACATGGTGGCTAACAACCATCTGCAATGATATCTGATGCCCTCTTGTGGGGTGTCTGAAGACAGCTACAGTGTACTTACATATAATAAATAAATAAAAATTAAAAAAAAAAAAAGATTTAAAAAAAAAAAAAGAAAGACACATGGACTCCAGTCACAAAGACAAGGGTCAAAAAACCTCAGGCTCTATAAACTCAAGGGTGGTATCAAAAAAGTCTGTGACAGTCCTCAATGGTTAAGGAAACACTCATTAAGTGTGCATTCTACCTCAGAATTACCTCCCTTCTTTTATCTATGTATTTTCACTTTTTAGTTTCTACAGACTCTCAGTAGGTAGCTCTGGCTGGTCTGGTACTCACTATATAGAGCAGGCCTCAAACATACAATGCTTCTGGGATTCTGGGTGCTGGAATTATAGGTGTGTGTGTGTGTGTGTCATCATACTGGGTCCTACTGTTTCCTTTATATTTTATAACTCCAGGACCCTTTTTCACCATCAACTACAATGTCTTTTTGTTTGTCTTTTGAAACAGGGTCTCTATGTAGCCCTACTTGTTTTAGAACTCACTATGCAGATCAGGCTAGCTTTGAACTCATAGAATACACCTGCCTCTGACTCTGCCTCCCGAGTACTGAAGTTAAAGGTCTGTGCCACTGTAACCAGAGACTGTAGTATACATTTTATATTACATATAATCATCACATTTGATTATCATGTCTTATCCTACTAAAATAGATGCAACATGGAGGCTGGCACTTCAATTTTCAACTGATATTCCTAAATGCCTAGTGCAGTATCTGTTACCAACAGGTACTAAAATATATGCTAGCTGAATTAAATTACTTTATGTAAAATGCCTTTACAGGCTATTAGTTTATTCCACTTAAACAGATGTTGGCATAACCAGCTTTGTGAACTGAGCTCTTCAATGAAAATCATTTATTTTTCTTATTTTAAAACTAAGTCTTACAGTCTTCTGTGATAATAAGAACATGATTCTAGATATTTAAAATAAAAGACCCAAGAATTTGGTTTCTAAGGTCCATTAATTTTCTTCATGAATTAGGTCCAAACAGTTAAGCAAGCTGGCACTGGCAAAGTACTGCTTGGTAACACAGCTTAGTTAGTATTTATAACGTCACTCGAGTATTCCAGCTCAGAGCCTATTCCTAAACTCAGACAACATCACTAATACCTATTTCATGAATATTATTCAGCCTGAAGACAACAGTCCAGATTCCTTAGAACTTCTGGCTCTCTTGTTTGACCTTTTCCTCCATTCTTTAGACACAGGGCCAGTGTAATGTCTGCCTTTTATGGTACTATAGTTATAGAGAAAGACTTTTAAAATGCTCTTAGCTCAGCTAAGAACACACAAGGCTTCAAAATATAGTACTACTACATTAGCAAAACATTTTCTGTAACTAATATAAATTACCACACTTTAAAGAGAATGTCAATGTTTAAAGGATTGATCATTTTTTAGAAAATAATACCCCTTTACAAGCCACCTAAGCATTTCTGGACTAAACCTAGGGACCAAGCTGGACTAATTGTACTGCCAAACCAAGAAAAAATAAGTATGTACAGAACAAAAACAAAAACAATTTGATTAACTTTAAATCTTAAATTTAGTGATGACTTACCTTTATTTTACAGGCATGTGTGGGAGACTCCAATTTTAGGTATTTTTTGTACAGTAAGATCTTTTCATTTTCTCTAAAATAAAAGAATTCATTTTTAACAGCTATTGGTTGTAAGCATTGACATATACTTAAGAACAAATGCCCCAGGGCCATTCTTTCATCTCTGGGATTCCCTTTTCCTGGTCAGGCACAGGGAGTAAGAGGCTCCTGACTGTGCTACACTGCTTGGAGGAGCAGTGTTTACTGCTTATCGCTATGTGGGAACTGAACGAGGTAGCACATGGCAAATTTTAAAGCTCAGTGAACACCACTATCATTTCCAACATGTGTAGGACACAGAGTCTGCATTATATTAAGGATAGATCTGGGCAGAACCCTGTAAGAGACTAAGGGGGGGAAATCACAAATTGTCCATCTTGTAATAGGTTGATAAATAGGCTAACATGACAGTCTTAGTTTGATATACCAATTATAAGGAGCTTTCCAGAATGGAACATTCAGTTTCAGAATGCCTAATGGCTGTAAAACAGATCCTGCTGAGTTACATGAGAGGAACAAGAATACTTACCTGGACTTCATTCTAATAAAGCTCTTCCACTAATTATCAGTGACCTGCCAATTTACTTCCAGTTAATTAGCCCTAAATTTCCATATTTATAAGCTTGCTCATCTACCCTGTCATTTGAAGGCTTAGTGGTCTAACCTATGTCTATTGGCATGTTTTTAATTTCTCTCCCCTAATGACTCCTGGCAATGCTAGAAAATCCACAAACATTAAGAGCTGAGAATAAAGACACTGATTCATATGAACACTTTCACCTAGACAAGTCACAAACCTGTCATCCAGGACAGTGCAGACATTCTTGCCTCGACTGGTTCCACAATACTCCTCTCCTAAGTATACTTCCATGTTCCTTGCTGAACTCAGAATGCCAACCGAAAGGATTTCTTCACCTCCATTAGGCCCACACTTCAAGTAAATGAAGCAGGGGTTCTCATCTCGGGAGCTCAGGCTGCTTTTCAGACTCACCAGATCCGAGCTGAGAAGGAAATTGAAAAAAAAAAATCACACAGAGAACTTTTCTGAGTAGACTCATAACCCATTGATCCCTTCAAACTCCTTCTACTTGCCATGAGAACCAAGAACCTTCCCCAACACCCACAGATACTTCACGCAGAATTCATAAGGCACAGACTTGAGGCGCCAGGGCATTCATTCCCTTCCACCTTTCCTAGACCGTGGACAGTTTATTCAAATATCTAATTCATTCGCAGGCAATTAAAAGCGTTTACTGAATGTAAAAATAACGATGTGTCTTTTTCTAAGATGCCGTGGATCTTGTTCCGTTCTTGTTCCCCTAAATAGAAGACTGGGGGAGTTCGGGGTGAGGTCGAGGAGGACTGTAACAGGAGCCTGTGGAGGGGTCCCGCCTGACTCTGGGATCCTGAACACGAGTTTCACAGCCTCTCTGGCCCAGCGCAAACCACTTGCCCGCAGCCTCGCCCACCTCCAGGCACCGCCGCCCTCCGCCCACCCCGCCGGGCCTCGCTCGGCTCCCTCGCCGGTCTCGGCTCCCGTCCTCCTCCCGGCTCCTTAGCAGCGTGATTGTCACCCGGCCCCGACCCGGCGCACCCCGGAGCTGGCGGCTCCAGCAGCTGCTCGAAGTCCAAGTCTTGGGCACGTGGCCCAGTCCGAGTAAGAAGGAGGCTTTGGGTCAGCGCCCCGCACGCTGCATCCCAAGACGAGGTCAGAGTCGGGCCGCGGTCCAGCCCCGCATCTTCGATCGCAGTCTCCATTCTGTCTCCTCCAGCCCAGGCGTCGGAACTTCTCTCGCGGAGCTTTCGTTTCCTTCAGTGCCCAGTGGAGGTGAAGGTTCAGCACAACTTCCGGTTTTTTTTTTTCCCCTTCAAATCCCGGGAGCCACCACACATGCGCATGCGCATTCATCTCACGTCCAGAAGTTTGTTTAAAATCTTCGCGGGAGAAGACCCAGGATAGCGCTTGTGCGTACAATTCCTCCGCTCCTGGAGCAGGTGCCGTGTGCATGCGCAGTACTCTACGCGCGGAAACGAAGAAATTTTCATGTTGGAAAATCAGCGACGCTTTGGGGCAGACTGGGCGGTTTGCGAACCCTGAGGATAGTCCCAAAGCAGATAGTTGTGGTCTCCTTGGTTCAAGCAGCCTGTAAGACCAGATCCCAATCTGAGGACCTCGGAAGAGGACTCCGGGGAGCCCTTCCTGCGCCAGCCTGTGGAGTAAAGGCCGCGCGGGCTGCATTTGAAGCAGTGCGGCCACGGCTGATCGTGTTGTTCCACTCCTCAGGTCACGCACTGCAGAATACTGCTGAGTGGCAGAAGGCACTAAACACTGAACCCACTAACACCCGGCTTCTGGGCATCAGCAACCAGGTGGAGCGTGCTTGCACGTCCTAAATGGCAGAAATCTCAAAGTTAAAAATGTCCAGGGGGTACAAAGCTGCGAGTTTTTCACTCATAACCTTGACAAGAACCGATAATGGACCTCGGTCTCTCTGCAGAAGTAGATTGTACCGTCAAGCTTTCTGTGGTGACAAGTGGGACTTGAAACTTTATACTCACAGGAAAGAAAACTAGGTATCAGTTGCCCCCAGTTACCTTCCTGAAGTGGGTTGTGTAGATAATTTAAACATCTTTGGAGATGAGGGAAGAAATTTGTTTATAGAAATGTGGAGTACCTGAATTTCAAAGTTGTTTGAGGCCTTATGTATAATCTCTGGGAAGTTTTGTTCACCATAACCTAGTTTTGTCCCAGAACTTTTTGTTCATCACCCAGAAAAAAAAGTGTTGGTTTAATTTTCATTTTAGTCTATATGTGTACCCTTGTTCAGAACATGCTTATGTCATCTAACAAGGAAAAGCACCAGAATGTATGTATAGTGAGTTCATCAAGTTTGAAGGAGAAATCAGAGACTCAATCTAGAAACAGTAACCTTTAATTTTAAAAGACTCAATTTATATTTTTTTAAAGAAATTCCACTCATTCTAAGTGGTTATCATTCTTGTTCTGTATAGTACGGGAAGCCACACACCCCCCCCCAGAGTGCATAATCAATTGAAAGTCTTTATTCTAGGTACAGCCCCTGAGTGTCCAGAACATGGGATTTTAAGAGACCTTAAAGTTAAGGTATCTCCCTTGGCTGCTGCATTGGAGCACCTCAGAGTAAGCAGTTTTAACAGAAGCTAAGATAAGCTGTTAGCCAGCCACCAAGGAGGGTTCCGCACAAACAGGCAACTTAAAAGTACAGTTAGCTGGAGGAGGTTCCGCACAAACAAGCAGTTTCAACAAAGGCTAAGATAAGTTATCTAGGACATCCTGACCTTTGGTTCCTAGAATAGAGTTGAGAAATTTTCCATGGGATTCTCCACCAAGGAGATCAGATTCTAGATAAACCTGAAACTGGGCTCGGCAAGAATACAAGACGGAGTAACCTTTGCACTGTCTTGCCCTGTTATTCTGTATTTCCGGATCCTCTGGTTATGAATTAGGTGAATACATGTAGAGAGTCCAAACGGAAGTACACTCTAGAAACACTAACTTGCAGTTTTGTGTGCAAGATTAACAATACCTGTGGGTTTTTACTTCCTTAAATAAGGCTGATGAATCAGAAAACTAGGCACCTATCGTAAAAGACTCCTGCCAATAAATCACCATTTTATCATCCTCTCGAAAGCTCTTATCTTCATCTCTGCTTGTCATGTGTTGAGGTGTTAGCTTCATCTGGGAGTTTATCAAGATCATGAGCCTATTCTCATCACCACTGTATCCTTTGCTCTGCCCTCTATCCCTTCTAATGGTTGATGCTGACGACCCGACCAACATGACCTTTACACCTTAGCATTCCAAAGCCTCCTGTACTCTGACCCTACCTTCCTTCCAATCTCCTCTTCCTAGAATACTATTTCTTTTAGATAGTTCTGGAGAAAAAAAAACTATCATTCACAACCAAGCTTAAATCTGAGTTATAGAATGAAACTGAGTACAACATGTACTTTCTGAAGTACTATAATTCCCTTGCAGCCCTAGGCTTAACCAGTTTCCATAGTTGTTTTCCCTACCAGCTGCATGCTTGCTGGCATAAGGAATCATTCTGGACTTGTAAAGAACCGTTCTACTGTGTGAATAATAAGTTGGTAAGAGGTGGCAGCCATATCACAAAAAGTACAGCAAAGCAAAAATCATGAACATTAAGGTTCTTTTCAAAGCCTGCATGGCAATGGTTCAAAGCTGACCTAAATCTCAGCATGCAAAAAATTGCAAAGGTTTTTTTTCCTTTTGAAATAATTAAGAATATTTGTTAGTTGCTGGAGGTAGCAGTGCATGTCTTTAGTCCCAGCACTTAGAAGGCAGGCAGATCTCTGTGAGTTTGAAGCCAGCCTGGTCTACATAGTGAATTTTAGTATAGCTTTACTGTACATTTCACTTAAAACCAGACACAAAGGCTTTACTCTACAAATCACTACATCTCCCCCCTTTTTGTTTTTAAGTGGATTTGTTAGGGATAACAGTTATGTTGGAGATTATGGAGTTGTGCAGTTAAATATGGCCTTTTGTCTAATTGTGTAACAGTTTTATGCAAACAAAATCAGAATACATTTCAAAGCCAGTAAATTTATCACAACAGCTTACACTTCCAGATTTCTTGAAGGAAGTCAGGACGGGAACTCAAACAGGGCAGGAACTTGGAGACAGGAGCTGATGCAGAGGACATGGAGGAGTGCTGCTTCCTTCCTTGCTTCCTGTAGTTTGCTCAGCCTGCTTTCTTATAGAACCAAGTCCACCAGCCAAGGGATGGCCCCACCCACAATGGGCTGGTCCCAACCCCATCCATCACTAATTAGGAAGATGCCCTATACACCTGCAACAGCCAGATCTTGTGGAGGCGTTTTCGTAGCTGAAGTTCCGTCCTCTCAAATGACTTGCTTACATAAAGCTATACAGCACAATGGGTGGGTGACTCTTGGCAAGCTAATATAAAGTAATATTCCTAAAGCCTACACATAGCATAATGCTTCTTGACTTCTTAAGATTTGAAGAATTTCAGGAATGTAGATCCAAAAGGGGGATGAGTGTGGGGGTTCAGATGATGTTTCCTGCTTTGGAGGAATACTCATGGTAATGCATTTAATATGTGCTGTTATCCTGGACACCCACTGGCTTTCTCCAGACCGAGATACATTACAAACTTTAGAGCATATCTGGGGGCAATGGTTTCATTTATAGTACCATGAACCTGTAGAGCCCAGGAATGAGAGATGGCAGTGATTGTTAATATTGCAACCTGGCATGATAGTCACTGATGAGATATGCTTCTGGGTGTGTCAGTAAATTTCTTTTTGGCTTGTTTATATGAGGAACTTTCTAAATTGGGGTGACTAAGGTGGGAAGACTCCAAATGTGAGCAAACTATGGACTGGGGTCCTGGATTGAATTGAAAGCAGCAAGCAACTGGAACACCAGCATTCATCTTTCTCTACTTCTGGTGGATACAAGGTGGCAATCTACATCATGTTTCCACTGGCACGATTTTCCTGCCTTATCTCACTGTACTCTTGAACACCAAGGCAAAACAAATGCTTAAACTGCTCTTTGTGGGTAATGAGAAACATAACTAATATGGTGGCTGAAGATGGAAATGTATTTTGAAGAGAAAATGGAGGGAGCTGGCAAATTGGGGGTAAAGAAGGAGCAAGAACCAAGGGAAACAGGTTAACTGGGCAGGCACAGTGCTTTTTATTACTTTATGAGAAACGAGAAAAAGGAGAGCAAACATAGGGGTTTTTTTTTTAAGTAATGAAATTGATCTGGGGTCAATAAATGTTTAAATCTGTAACAGTTCCAAGTAGACTGACCCTGAGTAATTTCTAGATATTACTGTTCAGTTGACGGAGTTATTGAGTATATGTGAAGCTTTGGGTTTTGCTATCACTTCAAAATACAACTACAGAATATACAGTTGAAAAGTGAACCTCAATGTAAATTTGAAAACTGTGTAGGGAGATATAGGCTATGTTTATGGTACAAGCATTTGACGGGGTGTGTCCAGTTGCACAAGTGCATACAGAGGGTAGAGGAAGGCCTTCCCTGTCTATTGCCTTGAGATAGGGTTTCACACGGCACCAACTCTCAGAGTTCACCTATCTCCCACCTGAAATGTTGGGTTACAGGTACAAGCAGCTCTGCCAGTGACACCTTCTGACATGGTGCTGGGTGAGAGTGTTAGAGGAAGAGAATGGTAAGGATAAATAAATTCATATTACATTGTATACCTGTATGGAATTCTCAACAATAAAGGATTTTTAAAGAATTAGTTGAACAAATATATATATATTTTCTCCCTGAAATAGCCATTATTTTGTTGCCTGAGAAAAGAGGGAAACTTGTGTGGGTATGGAGAAAGATGAAGAATAAAAGCAAATGGTTTAGGATATACCCTTGCATTGGGTCAGTGGAAAAAATGGAAGTGCTTTTCCTCTTCAACTAAAAGAGAGATAGAGAACATGTATGCACTTTGTAATCATACATTACACTGAACCTCCCATCCGATTATCATTTGGGTTTTGCTTCTTGTTTATTCTTGTTGCTTTGATTTGGTCTTTTGAGAACAGGTCTCACTCACAGTGTAGCTCTGATTGCTCTGGTATTCTCTTTGTAGACCAAGTTGGCCTTGAACTTACTATGACTCTCCTAACTCCAGAGGAGTGTACCACCCTGCTTATATCAGCACACACTGATTCTGTTCTTAAGTGTTGACCACAATTTGAATAC